ACAATGAATATAAAATAACAAGTTAGAACACGGGATAGATTACCAGTTGAAACTAATTGCCTCAAAGTGAATGTTTTTGGCTTAAATCAAAAGAACATGCCCTTGCCACCTCATGAGTCGTGTCTCATCTGTCTTGGCCCGCACACCATACTCTGATGTATTCTGTAAAGAATAGAGAAGAGAAACGATGAAGATGATAACTTTAACTTTCTGTGTTATTCAACTTACTCAAAACGTTACATCATCATTGTCATTTTATACATAAAGTAGATCTTATCCTCTCAATTTGTCAGCATGTGATAGCCAATGAGGTAAGACATCCAAATCTGTTTTTAGTACTGATATTGTGAGCTGGAGCAATCGTACATCGAGAGGATCTTTGAACGTTGAGCGTTGACGATGACTTGACTGTTGAGGAGGTAGAGCTGCTGGTGGGCTTACTGGGTTCACAATTTCTTTACTCGACTGGGCTTCTTTCATTAGACCCAACTGATTATTACTCCCCCTCAAATTTAGTGTATCATATACAGAGACACTGAGTTTGTTCCTCAACCGATAGAACTCTTCTTGATTCAGAGACTTCGTGAACACATCAGCGGTTTGCAGCGTTGCAGGGATGTGCTTTACTTCATGTAACTTCATTGCCACTCTTTCTCGAACGTAGTGAAAGTCAACCTCAAAGTGTTTCGTACGCTTATGAAATCTCGGATTTGCTTTAAGCAAACGGCAGACAGATTGTCACATAAAAGTAGTGGTGTGACTCTCTGTTGTAACCCCATTACCTTCAACAAGTTTTGCATCCACGCAACTTCAGATGCAGCCATAGACATAGTTCGATACTCAGCCTCTGTTGAAGATTTTGAGACCGTGTCATGTCTTTTAGCAGACCAAGAGATAATGTTGCTCCCAAGAAATGTACAAAATCCCCCTGTTGATCTGCGTGTATCTTTACATCCTGCCCAGTCGCTGTCACTGAAGCAGAGCAATGTAGAATCTGTGTCTTTCTTGATATGTATGCCCATCTCTGTTGTTCCCTTGACATATCTCAAGACCCGTTTGAGTAGATGAAAGTCTGAGACACTAGGTTGATGCATCTTCTGGCAAATATAGTTCACAGAGAACTGAAGATCAGGCCTAGTCAACGTGAGGTACTGCAATTTTCCAGCTAGACTTCGGAAATAGCTTGGTTCCTGAAAGACATCATCTTGACCTTGAAGATTATCTAGTTTCATAGGAAGAGGTGTGGGCATAGGTGCACAATCCTGCATTCCTGCAACAAGTAGAAGGTCTTGTGCATACTTGGACTGATTCATGAATAGCCCATCCCGTGTCTGATGAACTTGAATCCCAAGAAAATAGTGTATATCTCCCATATATTTCATTCAAAACTCACAATTTAACTTCACAAGCAGAGTTCCTATCAAGCTGTTGTTGTTTCCTGTTAAAATCATATCATCGACGTAAAGAAGCAGATATATCAGATCAGTACCGCGATGATAGATGAATAAAGACAGATCAGGAAAACTGCATTGAAACCCAAACTTGAGGAGAAACAAACTGAATTTGCCAAACCAAGCCCTAGGTGCTTGTTTGAGGCCATATATAGCTTTCTTCAGACGGCACACATAATCTGGTCTGTCTTTGTCAACATAGCCCGGAGGTTGGATCATAGACACTGTCTCCTTCAAGTCACCATGCAAAAATGCATAGTTGACGTATTTTCCAAGCCTTTGTAACAGCAACATGCAGGACAGTTCGAATTGTTGCTGTTCGTATCACAGGACTAAATGTTTCTAGAAAATCAACACCTTCTTCCTGTTCATTGCCCTTGGCGACCAGTCTTGATCGATGTTTTAAAACTGTGCCATCTGCGTTCAGCTTAAGCTTGTGTACCCATCTGCAACCTAAAGGATTTTGTCCTTCCCCTGGAGGAACCAACTCAAACGTCCCAGTTTCAGCCATGTTGTTCATCTCAAGATCCATTGCTGCAGTCCAATCTTTATCTTGTAACGCAGCCTTCAGAGATCTTGGCTCAACAGCTTCTGTCTTCACTGTAAACAAGGCATACTTCGGGTTTGGCTTAACTATTCCTGACCTAGCACGTGTGGTCATGGAATGAGCCGGAGGAGGAGCTGGATGTATAACTTCTTCTTCTTCAACCGCATCATTGTCACTTGTGTGAGCAGAAGAATTTGTAGAATCTGATTGGTTTCCTTCTTCTCCATTCATAGTTGGCAGCGGAATAGATGTAGTAGGAAGGACAGATTGTTGAACTTTCCTCTGTGAAGGAAATTCTTCCTTAGAATATTGACAGCCTGTATCTGCAGTGTTGTCTTGAGGAAGAATAACAGTCTGAAGCCACGCATTTCTAAGAGGAGATGTTGTGTTGTCCTGATACTTGCAGTAGAGATCAGCAAAAGGAAAGGATCTCTTGTCAAACAGAACATGCCTACTAATGTAAACTCTGCCAATAGGAGGGTGCAAACATCTATAGCCCCTTTACTTCTCGTTGTAACCAAGAAAAACACACGGAAGAGACTTAGGGTCAATCTTGTTTACCATGTATGGACGTAGATACGGAAAGCATTTGCATCCAAATACTCGTAATGGCGTATAAACATGGGCTTTTCTATGAAGTTGTTCGTAGGGACTCTTGTTGTTAGCTAGAACAGATGTGGGAAGAAGGTTACCAAGGAACACAGCAGTGAAGAAAGCTTCAAGCCAGAGATATTGTGGAGCTTTGCTGTGATATAACATCGTGAGACCAAGCTCAGTGATGTGCCTATGCTTCCTCTCAGACAAACCGTTTTGCTGAGGTGTGTGAGGGCAAGACACAAGGTGTTTGATTCCACAACTGGAGAAATGGTTGAGAAAGGTTTGGTTGATGAATTCACCTCCTCCATCTGACTGAAACTGCTGAATCTTAGATTGAAACTGATTCTCTACAAGTCGTTGAAACCTCACAAACACTGAACAAAATTCTGACTTCAACTTAAGAGGATAAAACCAGGTGAACCTTGAGTAATTGTCAACAAAAATCACATAATATTTGAATCCTTGAGATGAAACAACAGGACTTGGACCCCAAAGATCACAGTGAAGTCGTTCTAAAGGTCTTGCTGAAACAGTTTCAGAAGCAATAAATGGAAGTCTGCAACTCTTCCCTAACTGACATGAATCACAAAACAACTAACAGTCTTTCTTATTCAAAACAATAGATTTATTCTTGGCCAGAAGTTGAAGAACGTCCTTGTGAGGATGGCCTAGCCGTTGGTGCCACATCCCATCACTTGTAGCTTGCTGTCTTGAAGAGTAGAAAGCTTGAAACTTGGCGTCCTTCAACATATATAGATCTTTATGTCTGCTTCCTTGTGCTATCACACGTTTGGTTTCCTTGTCCTTTACACACACAGAGTCAGAGTCAAATGTAAACTCACAGGGATAATATTTTGTGAGTTTAGAAACAGAGAGCAAAGACTTAGTAATACTGGGACAAACCAACACGTCCTATAAAGGTAAGATACCTTGAGGTGTGTGAATATCCACTGATCCAACGTGTGTAATAGGTAAGTAATCACCATTACCTACAATAACCTGATCATTACCTAGGTATGGTTCTGCGGATTGAAGCTGAGCTGCAGTGTTTGTGATGTGAGCTGATGCAGCTGAGTCTGGAAACCAGTCTTGTCCAGACCTCTGTTCTTGATCTGACAACTTAACCGTGGTGAGAGCATTGTGAAGGTTCTCTGGTGTTTCAAACTCCTGATCAAAGCGATTATAACAACGAGCAGCAGAGTGTCCATAGCGACCACAGCTCTGACAAGTAGGTCGTGTGTTGTTAGATGAACTCCCTGAGAACTGTTGCTGAAAACCATGTCCTCTAGTAGAATATGACTGAGAACCTCTGCCTCTATAACCACCTCTGTTGGAATAACCACCTCTTCCTCGATTTCCATAACCTCTACCAGCATGAAATCCATGTGTGGTGTAGTCTCAGTAGACTTACTGTAGTTTTTAAGCTTATCATCAAAGTTAACCAACTTAAAAACTGCATCTTCAAACCTCAGGTCAGGAGATAAATCCATGGAATGCTCTATGACAGTACATATTGACTCATATTCTTTTCCTAGACCTCCTAGAGCATCATAAATAGCTTCTTGTTCTGGCAGAGTACACCCTATGGAGTCTAACTGATTACATACACTCTTCACTTCACTAAGGTATACCGACATAGTCTTATGTCCCTTTGACATACCTTGGAGTTTTCGTTAAAGATCCGGCTTGCGTGTTGCAGAGACACGTTTTTACTTCTTCGCTAAGCGGAGCCAAACTTCGTGTGCTGAACTGAGTCCATACACAGATCTAAGGGCTTCCTCCGTCAGTGAACCAAAAAGCCATGCCATGACTAGTTGATCCTTCCTAACCCACTTCGTAAACTCTGGATTTGCTTCTTCAGTAACCTCATCTCTGTGACGCACTGTAATAGTAGGAGAAGGTTGAACAGAACCACCATTGACAAACCCTAAAAGGGGCTGACTTGACAAAAACGACTCAAACTGTGTCTTCCATAACAGATAGTTGGTGGATGACAACTTTAGAGTGACACAATGAGAGATACTCAGAGTTGGAGACGATATGGAATCATTATCGTCCATGGCTCTGATAGCATAAAGAACAGAGAAGAGAAACGATGAAGATGATAACTTTAACTTTCTGTGTTATTCAACTTACTCAAAACGTTACATCATCATTGTCATTTTATACATAAAGTAGATCTTATCCTCTCAGTTTGTCAGCATGTGACAGCCAATGAGGTAAGGCATCCAAATCTGTTTTTAGTACTGATATTGTGAGCTGGAACAATCGTACACCGAGAGGATCTTTGAACGTTGAGCGTTGACGATGACTTGACCGTTGAGGAGGTAGAGCTGCTGGTTGGCTTACTGGGCTTCACAACTTCTTTACACGGCTGGGCTTCTTTCATTAGACCCAACTGATTATTATTCTGAACCATCTTCCTCAAACAGAAACTCTGTAAAACACTAGCGTTCAAGTATCGCATTCACGTATGAACGTTCAAATTATTTGTGCCATGATGCAGTTTAGTGGTTTAGATGACTCACTTTTCAGATTAGGTTTGGAGCCGAAGTAAACTGAAGGGCTATATAATCGTTTGAGGACCAAAACTCCACATCCAATGCCGAGAAAAGTTGCTATGGAAACTCCAAAAATCCATCCTTTAGCGGTTGCCATGGCACAAGCAGTGGTTGGGCCTCCTATGTTGGCATTCGACGTAAGAAGAAGTAGCTTCGTGTCGATAGGGAAAAGCTTCCGCAGAAGCAAAGTCAGTGCTAGATGAATGATTACTAGAATTACAGAAAAGAGGAAGATACTTGGGGCAGTGTTGATTACATTCTATAAACTCATGTAGCTCCTAAAATCGTGAAAATACCTGAACAAAAGAACAAGATAAAAAAATAAAAACGAAAATTGACTAAAAATTTGCATGCATTGGACATTTTCATAAGAGGATGGGTTTTTAGGGAATCTATGTTAAAAGTCTGAGCTTGCAACGGGCTCAGACAAGGCTCTGTGGCCAATGCATAGTCCCTTAATTGGTTCTAATAGATAGAGTATAATAAAGGATGTACCTGCATGAGAACGAGAAAGATGGTTTCAGCAGAAGGTACCAGAGAGTTTAAAGAAATCAGGGAAAGAAATTGCAGCTTTACATATGAGGAAAGAATCTGATAATGCAATTGACGTAGAAGCCACTCTGTTATTGTCCTTGACTTTGTCATCCTTAGCCATATCAGCATCTGCCAGAGGACCACATAGAACTTGTGTAAGAAGTAATATAAACACTATAAGTATTGAGATTCCCTATATATTAAAAGAGAATCATTACAACATTTAAGTTAGTCATTACCATAATGATTTTTGAACATTTAGAGAAATATGTTGGTCCATCTAAATATATAATAATTTTTTTTGTTACACTAACCATAAAATAATTATTAAGGTCCTCAATTCTTTCTTTAAATAAAAATTATGGAATTATCTATTGTGGCTAAAGTATATATATGAAAATAAATAATATTGAATAGATTTGATACAAATTAGTGCACCCCCTATATCATTTTTGTTTAAGTTTAAATAATTTAAATAACCAAACTAACCATATAATAAAAATTTAGATTTTTCCGTATATGTTATATTTTGATTTTCAAAAAGTCTCATGTTGAAATTCTTAAGATTCCATGGTTTAAATTTTGTTTATGACAAGATACAAATGATTAGAAAATCATATAAGTAGAAATTCTCATTTCATAAATATCAAAATTAAAAGATATATTTCATAACTATCAAAATTAATATATATATATATATATATATATGTATGTATATATATATATATAAATTAAACTATATACCATATAAAATATTTTAATTATCAAATTTTATTTGAACTTTTTTTTGATAAAATACTGACAACTTAATATTACATTTTAAATTTTGCACTGAATGTTTTTTAAAATTATAAATTACTATAACTTTTAAACAACACACAATGAAAACTTAGTACCAGTGATTTAATTTAAATTTTTTGTTATAAAAATATAAAAAAACAAAATGACTAGAACAAATAATTGTTCGGATTAATAAAATTTATTTACGTATTAGCACAAATTTAATTATATATGTAATAGTTACTGCCTTTTATAAGTATCATATATATGTATATATATATATATTATAATATATAAAAGAACATATAATATATAAATATAATTTAAATATACAATTTCATCTTGCGCAAGACGTGGGTCTTAACCTAGTATATTTTTAAAAGACATGCGAAAAATAATCTACCCTTGTTACCAGTGCTGGTCCTAGGAATTTATGGGCTAAAAGCTAAATTAATATGTTGGACCAGTAGATTAAAATTTTAAGAGACAAAACAGAAAAAGTTAATTTTAGCCAAGAGGAAGATCCGAGCTCATGACCTCTTCTCAGTGCAGTATTATCCACAGCTAACTTAACTAACGGATAAACATGACAATATGTGGCCAAATTTTTTTATATTTGTTGTCGGCCGGAAGCAATTTTTTCTTTCGCTTACCTTCAGGGCCGGCTTTGCTTGTGCCAAGCGTATTTATACTTGCATGCAATTGCCGTTAGAAAATGAGAATGGTTATGTAACAATGTCAGAAATATTACAAATCTATTATCAAAACATAATTTGATAGGAACATTAAAATGTATTCATATACCTATCTTTACCAACTTTCACCCTGATTCAACTTGACAGCCTCAAGCCAAGTAGCTATAGTAGTTGGTAAGATATACAATTAAGAAAGCAAGCAGCAGTGACCCGGTAGTTTGGATACTACAACGGAGATCAGCTCTAAACAACAACAAAGGAATCGTATGTGGCAAGAAGAATTCCATGAAGAAGTAATACGACGGTGTTCAAACGATATTAGCCCTAAGTAGCTTGGGGCGAGTCCAAGAAAGGTACTAATCTACGCCCCACTCACCATACTCCCAATCATCGTCTTCTCCGACCTAAAAAGATGGTAATCTCAATTGAATCAGTAACATATTATAAACCCTAAAATCTAGTAACTCGGAAGTCACAGTTGAGCTGATTACCAGACACCAAAAGCTCTAGTGGCATAACCGGATTTGGAGAGCCCAATGAAACATTAATCTGGAGATATGATATCCCGGTTAATATAAAACATTTGTCTTGTCCACCAAAACTTTTAATGAGGGTTTTATACTGATAAAGACCTCTAAATTATGATTTTATTTTTGTAACAATTCTAAAGAAATGTTTTTGGCTTCTAAAATCTCAGATTCTGCAGGCAAAGATATCTTCCCATTGACGCCAGTGATCCTTAAAAGAGATCGAAGGAAGTCGCAGTTGCGAGAAGACATTCACACCATGAGGTGAAACATGATGCAGCAGTGAAGTAAACTACAGCGGAAGTGTTCCGGCAGAGGGAATCAACGATAAATTGTTGGCGGGAAAGAGGCACGTCGTGCAATGATAATGGGAAACAAAGCTTAGGTGTCCATCTATAGAATTTTAACTTTTATTCTCAAGGATTATGGGTCAAGTTCGTTGGCCCACCAACGTTGAGTTGGCCTAGTGGTAAAAGGGTTGCAGCTGTAACTTCTGCCACTTAGATTCAACTTATAGTGGTATGGACTATTTACAATGCTTGGATTCCTGGCAAAGAGGTGAAACCACCTTTTTTTTACCAAAAAAAAAATTCATTGGCCCATTTTGACTCATTAAATAGGAAGATAGAGCTGAATTGTCTATATAATCTATCAACTTAAAATTTTATTTTTATTTTTTATTTTTATGTCAACAATTCTATTTTTATCAGTTGATCAATTGTTGTCGAACTTAAATGATCATATACTAAATTGACATAAATTATATATCACAACAGTAAATAACAACCCAATTCTAATTAACTAGAGATCACAATAGACACAAACAGATTAAATTAATGTAAACAAATTGATAGTAATAAAAAAATTCGATTATACACAAATCAACATTACATGTTGATATACTAAATGTTGATTTGTGTAAATGATAAGAACATGTCATTTTTCTACTTTAAATCAACATTTACATGTTAAAAGATAACAACTTAAATTTACTTTTGCTGATATTATATAAGATAAGAACATGTCATTTGTCTTCTTTAATTCATCTGATTTTTTTTTAAATTATTAAAGATAACGTACAAAGTTAAAACTTAACCGCTAAACCAAAACAAAGGCTCATAAAAACAGAGCCCTACACCATAACAACAAAAACCTTGTAGCGCCCAAACAAAAGACTTCCCTTACATCCAAAACGTTGCTCAGAGGCCTTGACTTTTATTGAAAAAGAATTCAAAATAACCAATATGGATGACCCAATGCAATATATGATTGCATTAGACCATACTTTGTGACACTTTGAGCGATGAAAGATGCTCCTCCATACACTTCTCTTTTTACCGCAACAAGCTGTTTATCTCTAATACCCTTCAGGAGCAACTCAATTTAACCAGCCTGGTAAAGAAATGCAGGCAACGCATCAGGCAGCAATACTGCTCCTATCAAGTCTCTGATCTCCTCAGCGCAAACAACTCTGTGGACTTTCTGGATTTGCATACTCTCAATTACCCATGAACAAAACCACAATTTCTCCAACATGTCTTTTATCTTTAGTTATTTTAATCTAAGTCCATATACAATGGTGGTGTTGAATTTTTTATTTCAACAGTTGAAACCTTACATTGAAGGTGTTGAAAAACTTAAAAACATGACATAGATTAGACTAGGTACTATAGTTTCAACACACAACACCATACACATCATCTTCTTTTTCTTCCACGTCATCTTCTCTATATTTTACTTAGTAACTAGTATTATTATCCCGTGCTAAGCATGGGCCAATTTTTAGTTGCATTTAAATTTATAATAAAATTTGTAATATTTTATTTTTATAATTAAATACTTTTAATCATATTTTCTAGAGCTGGATAAAACAAACAACTAAAATTAGAATTTTTGCATTAAAAATTTAAAACAAAGAAGTTCAAAGCAATTTTTGCGCTAATGCTTAAATGAAACACTTCTAATTTCTAGACCAATATGTGATTCATATTTTATCCATAAAGTTTAGATATATAGATCAACACATTAAATATAATTTTTTATTACAGTACATAAAATATAGTTAAGAATACTAAACTTGGTCGATGCAGATTTTATGTATCCGTTCAATAAAACTAAACCTCTTCATTTTAATAGAATGAAAACGAAACAGTGAAACTAAAATAAATAAAAATTTATTAAAATATTGATTCAAAGATCTGTATATATGAAGAACAAAGAAAGATAAATGGCTGGTTAAAAATAAAATATTCTAAGAATTTGTCCGTCATTTACCTCTGCAGTCATTGATTTGGATATGATAGACTCATAAGAAGACTCACAAACAGATTTATATTCTGCATTAAGAATATTTTTTTTAAATAATTTAACCATAGTAAACAGATTTTTAAATACACAATTTGTAAATACCCAAGTATTGTTACCTTAGTCGATGAAGCTCTTGAACTTCATTTGTTGAAGGGACTAATTAAGTTTTGAAACATGTGTATGCATAAGTACTATCTTCAACCTTTTTTAACTATCATCAACCTGAATCATGCAAAACGAATTTGAAAAGTACTAAACTGAATCTGAATAAGGGGGAAACATAAACTTATATAGATTCTTTGCTACAGTCACACACAAAAAAAAATGAAGAAGAAAGAAGAAGAAACAACATGACATAAAAAGAGAGATGAGGTTAATTGTCAAATTTGGAACTTACTTTTCTTTTCCAGCAGTTTGGAAGTTAATTTGAACATGATATGAGAAATTTTTGATTTTTTCCCATATTTATTTTTCTGTTTTTAAAATTAAAATTTACAAATTTAGTTTGTTTTCTCAGACAGAAAAATATTTTCATCAATTATTATTTAGGGGTTTCGAGAAAAATATTTTATCTAAAATAATAATTAGTTTCTGTTTTAGATAGTTTTTAAAACAACCTAGGAACTTTGTAAAAGAAAACTTGAGAAATTTCAAAATTAATTACAGAATGATTAGAAATTTGCTTTTCTAAAAGATGTAAAACTAAAAAGTAAACAAAATATTTTTTTACCTGTCTAAATGGTCAAAAACGTTATGCACTCTACCTTGGCCAACTTAACTCAGAACATATCTCCTAGAAACTTCTCTTTGAT